AGAAAACAAACATCCGTGCTGCCTTATATTGGCAGGCAGCGGGAAGACACAATAGCACGCTTTATTTTGTCTCTCTCTTGTGCTTGCGTGCAGGAAATGTCTGTCTCTCAGCTTTATTTGTGCCATATTAAAATGAATTCCATGGGTCTTTCCAAATGCTTTCGAGGGGGCACATCATCCATCTATTTTTATTTGGGTTTCATCACCTGTAACATCTACTAAAGGTCCTGTGTACTCAGTTTGGCATTTTTGCTTACTAGCTAAACTGTGCTATTTTGGGGCCTGAGCACTAAGTTCATGTGCTTACTTGAGCCTTTTCTTGCTGCTGCAGGGATGGGAAAATACTTTTAGTTGTCAAAAGAATGATAAATTCAAGTTAGATAAAGTTAAACCATAAAAGGTTGAATAAAATGATAACTCCTGAAGTTGATTAGCTATGTAGAGTTTTACTAAAGGCCTAGTTTTACTCTGAAATGTGGCTCAAAACCCACACTTTTTTAAATATAAAAAAAGCCAAAGAACCCTCTTTTCAAAATGTAAGGCTACCAGACAGTATTCTTTTTAAATGAGACCTGAATAGCTGCTTTTTGATAACAGGCTTTCTTTGTTCAGCAGCATTTTAGGACCGATCTGTGTGTAAAGGTGAATTCTTGCCTTAAATTCACCTTAAATTTCAACTTTTCCTGCTGAAGAAAAAAGAAAAGAAAAAAAAGAAGGCTTTAGCAACCCAGGATATTGCTGATCTACATACATGGAAGTGGTTTGCACCATGTAATTCAAGTTGCAGATGGCCTGTGCCTCTGTATTGGACTGTTAGTGTATATTCTGGCAATTTGGCTGCCTTGTTTCAAAAAGGTACATGTTGTGGTTTTAAAAGAATAGGCAGCATGAAAGGAGTTCATGAGCTTAGGGTGCATTGGATTTGAAGTTCCCTAAGCATCTAAATAAGGTCAGAGGGTAATTTTAACAAATTTTAAAAATGTATTGGTCTGGAAATGTCACAGGAATATAGAAGGTAATGCGAACGATGCTTTCTCATCACTGAAGGAGAAAGTACTCTGGGAAATTGAAAGACATCTAAAATAAGATTTTGAAATAGTTTTACATGATGTGTAATTAACCTTAAGAAGTCTTTGCCCCAAGGTAAAGTCAGGGCTTTTTTAAGATTAGAAAATGAATTAGGTATTTATATGGATTGGTAGACCATTCACTATTCATCATCTGGGCTCTGAAGAAACACAAGGGAGGTGAGGTAACATTTTGCCGGTTAAAGGAATAATGCAACCACATTAAAAAGATGGGCTTTTTAACTTCAGGTATTTGAAAGCGGAGCCCTCACCAAAGCCATCATTCAGATTTCCTCAGCAGACAGTAGAGAACGGAATTTCTTCAGGGAATGGCGAAGCCTCAGCTACCTTAAATACCTGTTCTTTTAGGGAATAAATTGCTCTTTGAGGGTACCAGACTCACATTAGCTATGGAGGGATCACAGTCATGTAGTTTAAATTCAATGGGCTGCATCCCTTACTGTTAGGAATTGGAAAAATATATCCACATCTGGAGAAAGCACTTCAGATGTAGCATCTCAAGCTGTGCTAGACTAGATTTTTCCAAAGATTTCTGCTTCAACCACTCGTGAATATAATCTCAGTTTTCCAGCTAGTAGCTCTATTTTCCTGTGAGCTAAGGCTCTTCCAAGGCTTTTCTCTTGTCTAAGTGATGTTTTTTTTATGTATTACAGAGAATGACACAGTATTACTGTAGCACTGATAGGTTTCACAGACTTTACAAGGGGAAGGAAAACCCCATTCTGAATAATTTTTGTCAGGCACGAATTGCGTGGCTAACACAAGAGTTAAGCTTCTTACAACACTTGAGTTGTTAAAATGAAAAGGAATGATCTGTATTTCATGAGGGATATAAAAGACTATGTCCTACTGGCCCTATATGTAAGGTTTTGAAGTGTTTGGGAGTTAGGCATCTTTGAAAATCTCACTTCTTAGGCACCTGCTTGTTTGGTTGGTGGGTCCTATGCACATCCAGGTTGAAAAGGGGGTAAAAACTGCACTGGTCTTTTTGACGGTTTTCTCATGAGCTTCTTTGAAGTGTTAGCCTCAAGCTAAAAGGTAATCCGAGTTTGCCAATTTTACATTTTGTCTGTAGAAAGATGAAACGGAGCCTTCAGCTGCCTTGAAGAAAGGCTATTACAGATCACTGAAAAACTTTCTGAGAGCCTGGATAGCAGCTACAGAGTAAAACATTTCCCTAATTCTCTCTTTTTATAAGCTATCACTGGTGACATTTCAACAGTAAAGTCTTCACCATAAAATCTCAGTGCCTGTGAACACAGTAATAGAAATTCATGTCCTGCTCCTGCCCACATTGCTGAGCTGAGAACTCCAGACTGTCTCATGTCTTCGTTTAATTTTGTTGCATCCTGAGGGAGCTGCTGGTCCTGCAGTGCTAGATGTGCCGGAAGCATAACGGGAACTTGCCCTGGTGATCTTGCAGGCTGAGTGGATGAGAGGGCAAAGAGAAGAAGAGCGATTTGACCAGCATCATGCTACACAGCTGTGGTGGGCTGGAGGTCCCTGCTGGTGCAGCTACGTGGGATACCAACGGCTTTCTGTGTTCATGGTGGCTCCCCAGATACACTGTAGATGCCGAGGTTACAATGCCTTAGCCTATGTTTTGATAAGCCAAAGGATCTAAGCTTTCCTTGCTGTGTCTTGGAAGCAGGAACTCAGTAGAGCCAGCTGCTCTCTACACTTGCTTCCTCTTTCCTTCCTAATGCTGATGTGCTTTACATTTGTGTTACTGCCGTTGAGTGCCCTAGGGTAGCTCAGATGTCCTCATGTGGCTAGCAGATGTGGCACAAGATCTAAGGCAAGCAGCTGTCATGTGGCAGCTGATAACCAGGGGATATCCCTGCAGCGGTGGCAGCCAGGGAAGTTGAAGGGATGCTGAAGAGGAGCTGCAGGGAGCTGTTAGTGGCGGGAGGGGGAAAAAGAGGAAGAGAGAAGGGGGTGGAGGCAGGGAGGACTATGGCCCAAGGATGTTGTAGGTGCTCAAGCTGAGATTATGGAATCATATAATAGTTTATATTGGATTGGAAGGAACCTTTAAAGGTCATCTAGTCCAGCCCCCCTGCAATGAGCAGGGACATCTTCAACCTAATTAGGTTCGTCAGAGACACATACAGCTTGACCTTGAATGCCTCCAGGGATGGCTCATCCACCACCTCTCTGGGCAGCCTGTGTCAGTGTTTCACCACCCTCATTGTAAAAAATTTCTTCTCCACGTCCAGCCTGAATCTTCCCTCTTTTAGTTCAGCAGTATTACACCTCATCTTATCACAACAGGCCCTGCTAAAAAGTTTCTCCCGTCTTTCTTATAGGCCCTTTTTAATAAGAACTGAAAGTCTGCAGTAAGGTGTCCCTGGAGTCTTCTCCAGGCTGAGAAGACCAACTCTCTCAGCTTTTGCCCATAGGAGAGGTATTCCAGCCCTCTGATGATTTATGTGGCCATACTCTGGACCCTCTCCAACATGTGCATGTCTTTCCTGTACTGAGGACTCCAGTACTGCAGGTGGGGTCTCACCAGAGCATAGTAGAGGGGCAGAATCACCTCCCTCAACCTGCTGGCCACACTCCTTTGGATGCAGGCCAACATGTGATTGGCCTTCTGGGCTGCAAGTTCACATTGCCAGCTCATGTCCAATCTTTCTCCACCAGTACCCCCAAGTCCTTCTCCTCAGGGGTACTCTCAACTTCTTCATCCCCAGCCTGTATTGATACCAGGGGTTGTCCCAATGCAAGTCCAGGACCTTGCACTTGGCCCTGTTGAATTTCAGCATAAGGTTTGCATGGGCCCATTTCTTGAGCCTGTCCAAGTCGCTTGGGCTGGCATCCCTTCCCTCTGGCATGTCAGCTGCACCACTCAGCTTTGTGTCATTTGCAAACTTGCTGATGGCACACTCAGTCTTGCTGTCTATATCATTGATGAAGATATTAAACAGTACTGGCCCAGTATGAACCCCTGAGAGATGCACTTGTCTCTGGTGTCCACCCAGATACTGAGCCACTGACCACTATCCTCAGATAGCGCTGCTTATTTGTGAGTGATGTGGGGATGGCTACCTTGTCCCCCATGGTCTGTCTTCTACTTGTATCTTGCTGCTCAGGGTGAGGTCAGGGCAAGTGTTACGAGCGTGGCCAAATCCAATGCATTTGACAACTGTTCCGTCCCTTTCCTAAAGACCCGCTGTGACCATGCCAGGGGTCAAGATGGGACTTTCTGTGCAAAAAGTGCAAAGCATATTTTGAGTGGTTCATCATGGCTGCTTCTTCACTGCAGCAGGCTGCTTTGCACTGTTGCTTGGCAGAGTCCTTTCTTTGTCCTTCCCTGTGAAATGGGAGTAAATAGACTAATGCTTTCTGTCACCCAGGGCTTTAGAAGATCCTAATGCCGTTATCTCAAAAAGAAGGTAATGCTGCAGTCTGGCTCAGGAGTTAGTAACTTGGGAGTTACACTTAAGAAAAAGTAAGCAGCAATAAAGAGGTTTCTGTGATACACTACAGCAGCACAGGTGGAGAGTGCTGGAGGCATGGTGAAGTTTTGCTACCTGAATGCATGAAAGCCTTCTGTGGTGTCTATGTTGGAATTTCAAACTTCATCTTCTCCAGAGATACCCATAGTTTTTAAAACAGATTTCAAAGTCAGTTGTCAGTTGCGTGATCAGAACCATGAGGGGTAGCTGCAGCTTGCAGCTAATGATGCTTGTTTCTGTGTATGAAGCCAGTGTCCATGGTCATGTTTCAATTCCCTGGGGCAGCAAGCCAGGCTGGCTGGTTTGTACCAGGGGCACTTGATGACAGTCTGCCTTTGTTTTTGGTGATGGCTGGTGGGAGAAGGGAGGGGAACTAGCAGTAAGCTATATTCTCTATGTCGTTATATTTCTAATGTTGGTGTTCTTGTCTTTATGTCTATGCATTCTTTAGCTATGAGGATAACAGACCCTTCATCAAGTAAGAATGACCTGAATGGCTGATAAATTTCATTTATCAGTGTGGTCTCATGAACCAGCTGTCAGATCAATATTGAAAAATCATTAAAGCTTCTGTCATTCGCATTTGAGGCAGAAGAGCAAACTGTGCAGGAAATACAGGGAAACTGGTCAGGCATACAGCTAACATGCAGAGTAAATGTGCTGCATGTGTATTGCCAACCAGTTGTCACCTTATTGGCTTTATATTCTTTGATTGGACATAAACTCAAGGTGAATGTTCCCAAGTTAATCCGGTGTAGTACAGACTTGTTATACCAATACCAACCCTCTGGTCCACTGTGCTCTTGTTACTGAGAGTGCTTTATAGTAACATAAATACATAAGTAAATTTCCAGAAAGGTACATGGGTGGTAATCCCCATGATTCCAATTCTAGTTAACAGGAGCACTGCAAGTAAATCTTATTCTGTGCATTGGAGACTCTGTCTGCATTTATTGGGAGTACCTAATTGTCCCTAATTGTAAATCTCTGATTTTCAATTACGCCAAAATATGGATGGTTTTGTTTCTTTATTGCTATAAAATTGCACTACAGGAAAGAAAAACTATGAAAAGCAACAGCAAGTCTGTACAAAGAACAAAACAAAAACCACAAGTTGCACCAATAAAAACTGAGAAGAAAGCCAAAAATGCCTAGAAATTACGCACCTTAGGGCATCCATGTTTTTTCTCCTGCAATCAAAAAGTAATGCACAGTAGCACAAATAAAAGCAAATCAACTTTGCAGTAGACTTTCAGTTTGTTCTTCTGGTGAAGAGTCCTTTGTGTTCATTCTTGCGGCACCATTCCCATGTTCTCTTTCATCGCTTGGTTCTTTTCATTTCTGCGGATACGGGATGGAGCTATTCATAGTAATCTCCATGCCCTCTTTATCTCCAGGTCTTGTTTTCTGAAGCACAACACTGTAACGCATGCAGTTTGCACTGCTGAGGGTCTTCAAACCCACAGATACCTTTCCATCACTGAAGGTAGCATATTTCCACTAAATAACTGTTTCACTCCTGCACACCTCTGCAGCCAAAGGTTCTTTAATCAGGTTCAAGAACTGGCTGTGCTTCAGAGCAGAATAGTTTTCTGATATTCTGGGGGTCCTTTTGAAAAGGCTCTAAAAGCAAGGGGAGTTTAAAAAAAAAGTGTTTTTCACTTAATTTGTTGTTCTTTTTTAGGGGTAAAATATTGTATATTTTAAATTGGTGTGCAATTAAGATGATAATGTGCTCTCACTGATGGTGGGATCTTGGGGAAAAATATAACAAGCAGCTAAAGTTGTGTACTTTAACTAGTGGCTACTTTTCTAAAGGGTTTTGAAAGTGCATTTTTAGTTTGCCTCATGCTAAATATTTATTAGCGGGATTGACTGGAAATGCTTCAGAGGAGCGGTTCTGGTCTGCTAGCTACATAATAGTGATTTTTAAATGGTTACCTTAGGGAGCTCTTCTGGTTGTGTAGTTAAATAACCTATATTTTATAAACTTCAGTGAAGACTTAATGCTGTATTTTCATTCTGATACCTTAAAAAAAAAAAAAGAAAATCCAGACCAAGAAAAAAAGCACAAAACAACATAAATGCAACATTGGTGTGCTTCTGTTTGTGGCAAGCCTTGCTAAAAGGACAAGGATTCAAGGCTGCAGCTGCCATGGAGTCCCCATAGTGGAGCCTGACCTCTGCAGGACTTACTTTTCCCCTAAGCTGCTACTGCTTCATCTTTCTCCCCCTCACTCCATGCTCTGCTTAGCAGATGGAAGCCCAAATATGCCATAACCCTGGACAAGTTTCTTCAAGGCTGAAGTGGCTTGGAAATAAATGTAGGTAGGTCCTTGTTCCTATGTGCCCTCCTGCAGCACCCCATGCTGCTGTGGGATGGACAAGGAGGGAGAGGTGCTGACTGGCTGCAGGCTCGTCTGCTTTGGGTAACCAAAGAGTTAAACAGAGTTAAACAGTGAGGAAGGGGTGCAAAGATTGGATATAGTTGTATTCCTTTTTATGTTGCACCTAACATTACCAGGGGAAGACAAGAAAATCAAGGCCTTAAGGGAAAGGGTAAAGGGATGCTCATGGTGCTGCTTGCTGCGCGCTTCCCGCTGTGCTTCCCAGCTAGAAGCTGATTTCCTCCCCTGTGCAGCAGGAGTTCCTTTAAAGTTATAGGTAATGTAGCGTGTGGAAACTAGGGAGATGGCTAGAAGAATGACCCAGTTCCTTCCCTGCTTGTCACACTTCATCTCATGCCCTGGTATTGGAAGATCAGTTTGTGAGATGTTAATTTAGCAGATGAGTTATTTAGCAGAGTAGCATGGGATACTTCTCCTGCCATCCTGGAAGATCTTCCAGCTTTCCTGAAAGTGCACAGCCATCCCATGCCCCCAGCACTGTTACTCCAACCAGAAAGTTCCTGAAAGAAAGAAAGTAGAAATTGCAGGCTACCCATGTTCGCTTGAAAAACTTTTGGGGCCAAGTAGTGGCGGCACCCCTACTCCCTCATTCCTTCTGGGGTGGAGCAAGAGATAATGTTAGTTTTGCAACTGATGTGAAGAAGGATTGCCTTTCTTTTTTTCTGAGCAGAAGTGTGGTAGCAGCTACTGTTTTAGCAAATGTGGTGTGCGAGTGCCTAGATGTGTATATATATTTCCCCTCATCACAGGGTGGAAGAAGTGTGAAGTAGCATCACACAGAGCCTCCTTGTGCAGAGCCGATCTGGCAAGTGGTGAGGGCTTGCCCACCTGCTTGTAGTTGTTTATCTGGCTTAAAGGCATATGGGAGGCTAGCTAAAATGCAGCAATACGTGTGTCTCGGTGTTAAGCATAAAGAAGCTAATCCAGCTGGCATTCCTGCCCCAGTGAAACCAGTGGACACTAAAAAAGTGACATTTAGAGTTGTTTTGGTTGGTTTATTTTCTTTTCCTGCCATTTGCAGAAATAGCATCTACATGTCATTTACATACACACTGCTTTTGCATTTAAAAAGGCAGGGGATGGGGGAAGAATAGAAACATTGTGGTTACAAATATGCTTTGGTTATGATAAATATCTATGCTCATAACATTTCCATTTCTGTATATTTCTCCAAGCTTGAAGATTTGTAAACTGTATCCAGCTTGAAGACAAAATTCACTACATTTTAATGTGCTCTTTGCTTTTTGCTAAAACCATGGGCAAAGTCTTCCTGCCTGTAGACATGTGCCTTCTTTTGTAGATGAAAAATCAAACACTTTCTTTTCTTTTTCTTGTTTTTCCTAACAGGTCCTGGGTTATAGGTGCCATAGCCCTGCTCTGCCTATTAGGACTCACCTGGGCATTTGGACTCATGTATATTAATGAAAGCACAGTCATCATGGCGTATCTCTTCACCATATTCAATTCTCTGCAGGGAATGTTTATATTCATTTTCCATTGTGTCCTCCAGAAAAAGGTAAGACAGTTCCCAGCAGCAGAAGAGGTGGTAATGGGGTGTTTTTGTTGTCTAACAACCGCAGTGTAACATCATCTGTGTGCCCTGAATTCATCATATGCAGATTTATCTCCATATATTTAATAAGTGTGGTATTTAGACTGGAAACCAGCAAGATGCAAGGGAATGAAGTGATAACAAAGATATGTGGCAGTGGTATTTCAGCAGCCTGGGCATTGGCGATGAGCAAGGGAAAAGGCATCTGACAGTTTGTAGGGCTTTACAGTAGCAAACCCGTATAAGGGCTTTACCTGCTATAAGCCAGATTTCCTCTCCCATATTCTAATTTGAGATGGGAGCACTCCACAAGCATCCGGAAAATCCTCATGTGGCTGAGTGCTCACAGCAAAATGGAGCTTTACATCCTCATTTTCAGTCCCTGTGGGAAATCACTCTTCTCTACAGCAGCATATATGGGCTGATAGTATGTAACAGGGGCTGCTTCTGCCACTTTTGTAAGAACTGAAGGACCTGTGCTCTGCAAGAGCTTTTGTATTACTTGGTCCTAATGTGAACTTTTGGAAATCTTCTTCAAAGCAAGCACAGTAAGTGCTTCTTTGTGAAACTTGAAGTATGCCCCAATTAACATTTACAAGATAATAGTGGAGTAAATTAGTTAAACTCTGGGGGAAAAAAATAAAAATAAAATCTGTGTATATGCACATCAAACTTACAGTCTCTGACAATCAGTAATTAATATTTTTAAGAACCATTTTATTCTTCACTAAAATTAGGCAATACAGAGCTCTCCAGTTCTGTGCATATCTGCTGATAATTTTTTACGTACATCTTTGTTTTAAAGGGCAGTTTCTTTATCTGATATAAACAGAGGGAAGAGTTTACAAGTGGATACATATGGTACGCAGTTTCTCAGTGTAACCAGTAGCTACTTGGTGAAGTAGCTTACTGGATAAAGTCAGGGCCATGCTGAGGTCTGTTCTCCATCCAGGAGCCCCAGGCTTGCTGCATGCTTTCGTATACAGGGAGGGGAGAGCTGACCTGTGAAAACGTAAGCAAAATTAGTTGTGGCAGGTGAGCTCTGTGAGCGATGCCTATAGAAGGATTTGCAGAGCTGTGGAAAGATGTCATTCTTGAAACCAAAGGAAGACTTTTGGGTTTTAGAGTTTTGTCCTGTCATTTCATCTCAAATTTGTGCATCGTAAAGCTTTATCTAGATGCAACTGCTTAAAAACTCTATCAAGGTGCAACAGCATGATGTTTCCAAAACCTTCAGCAAGAAAGTTTGCAGGCAACATGATAATAAGAACGTAGGAAGCAACACCATCACTAGTTAAACCTGCAGGTGCCTCTTTGACAAGAAATCTTTATTCCTTCTCACTGATCCATGCTCTTGTCTCCAGTGCACTTCGCAAAGAATCAGTCCATAACCCAGAATCTCAACACAGCACTGCAGGCTCCTTGGTTATCTGGGTGCTCACATGGCATGGAAGAACCATTCTCTTTTCTGTCTCAAGCCAGTCTACATCCTTAAACCATCCCTCGTGACTGTGGGATCACTTCTGATATATGGCTCCATGGAGGGAAGAAGAATGCAGCTGATTCCTTGCTGTAGGGTAGATGCATCTCTCTGACCTAAGAGCTGAGGGAGGAATTATATGAGAGGAGAAAGGGAGAAAAAAAATCCCTTCCTTTCCTATCTCTCATGGACTAGAAAATCACCAAAAAGCTACAGAGAGGCAAACAGTGGGTGGCTAATTAAATCAATTGAATTATTTTCTCTCAGCAAAGGATTGATGAGGCACTCGAGCATATTGGACGCTCATGGTATTGTGTTTGTCTCAGGCACTTAAGGAAGAGCCTAATGAAAAAGCTGTAATTTCCTATTTAAACAGTTGTTCCACACAGTTTTGAAATGCTCGTAGATAGTCTGGCAGAATTTCACAGCTAACTGCATGCTCCAAGGAATGTCAACTGGTGTTTTGGACATGCATGGGATTTGAGGGGCTTTTTTTGTGTTTTTTTTTTACAATAGGCAATGTGACCTGCTTTTGGCTTTTCATTACACGCTGCTTATTTTTAGTCTTGGCCCATCTGGTTTCTGGGTATTGCTGCCCATGAGAAGTTGCACCTGAAGCTCAGTCAAAGCTTAGATCCTGCCCTGGCACAAATCAGTGAAGTTCTCCTAAAGCAAAGAATGTGGTACAGCTTTACTCCAAACAAGGAGTTGGCCTGGGTTGACTGCAATGCCCATTCAAAACATGACTGGCTTGCACTTTAATGTGGGAAAGCAGGCTCCAACCACCCCTGTGCACTGGGAATGTAATCTCTAGGGCTGTTAGCTCTATAGTTTCCTGGAGTTTCAATTTGACTGCAAGATATAATATAAAATAAAAAAAAAAATCAATAGTTTTTATATGTTTCTCTTGGAATTCTTCTTCTCAGTCCCCTGCCAGAAGCAATAACTTTTAGTACCTTGATGAGCCAATATGCTAGTTTATATCAAATCTATGAGGATATTAATTTTCAGTCATAAATAGTGTATCTGTAGTATCTCCTATGCTCCTTTGATGTGCCTCAGAGGAAGCTACAACTGACTGGTGTCAACAAACAGCTTTGCTTGCATAAAAGCTGTCCCTTACACCATCATAAGTGGTGTAGCTCATGTATCAAGATCTTTCAGTTGCAAGGTGTAATTCTTCCCCACACACTGCAACAGCTATTGTTTTAATGAACCACTGAGGAAAAATCAAGGGCTGTGTTAAAAATTGGAAGGCAGTGGGCTGGAGGAGGACCTAACTGTCTTCGCTCTTTCTTTGGCTAGGTACGTAAAGAGTATGGAAAATGCCTGCGCACACATTGCTGTAGTGGGAAAAGTACAGAGAGCTCTATCGGCTCAGGAAAGACCTCAGGGTCACGGACACCTGGAAGATATTCCACAGGTTCACAGGTAATTCATCTTTCTTGTTCACACCCTGATCCTTCACACCACCATGCCGATATCCTTCATGGCTATGCTGCCTTTGGCCTCTCCCCAGTGCATCCACAGAGATTGCCCTCCTTCCTGGACCTGAATTCAACACAGTAACTTCCCTTAGGATCTGGTGGCAGTTAGTGCCTCTCCAGAAACCTTCTAAATAATTGTGATGAGAATAAAAAGTCCAAATTTGCCTTCTAGAGGCAGGTGGGTGGTCATCATCTGAGCTGTTCTGCTCTCTATGGGAATCAGGAGCTGGGAGCGTTTTGTCTGCTATGCTGCATCACAGTGCATCCTTTAATCATGAGCTGAAGGTTGTCACTGCTTTTGCTGCGTACAGGAATGGTGGTGTAACAACCAAGTATTTTTCTTGCTAAAAGAAGACTACAAGAGAATTGCAACGGCCCTTACAGTGAAAAGGCTTGCTTTCTGGCAATCAGTGGTTTGATCAATTCCTTGCCTCACTCAATTTGCCTTTGTTTATAGACATCTTAGGAGAAGCCATTGTGGTCAGATTATCTTATTAAGTTACTCTATTTGTTATGCCTTGGTCACCTGAAATTTCAGGTTTTATGTAGTTTGTGCACTTAGCAATTTTGAAGCTTGAACATACAGATGCAGATTTATGGATGAACAGTTCATATAAAATGAAGAAGCTTACTTCTTAATCAATAGAAACCAAACACAAATTTATTCACTATTACTAATGAAAGTAATTATACATGGCAGTTCCACTATTAAATTATGAAAGCCATGCAGCGAGTAACAGTTTATGACCTCCCAGGAAAACCTAATTTGTGATTTATGTCTTGGAGCAAATTATTATTTATTTTCAGCATTTTCCAAGATGTCGTCCAAGAGCTCCACTTTGTAATTTACATAGGTGTGGATGCTATGCAGGGCAAAAAAAAACCAGCAAAAAATATGGAGCCTCTCACCAGTAGGCCATCACATCCCACAGTAATCAATAATGTTTAAAACTCACTATATCCAGTAACATTAGCAGCACTGAACATTTTTGGCTTACCTAACTTAGCTACTGGGTTAGATGCTCTCTTCTCTAAGAGGAGTTGATTTTAATAGGCCCTCCCTTTTGGCAGTCTCAGCGCAAGAAAACAAGCCCTTTTAAGGGTGGGCTGAGTCTCCTGGCAGCAATCCTTTCATGGCAGGTGAGGTTTGAGGTACCAAGGCAGATTATTTTGCCTGCAGAGCCTTGTCCTTGGAAGGATGGAAGTGCCTGAGACCTATCATAAGCAGGAGAAACCTCACACAGGTGATGGAGAGTGGATGGAAATCATTCTGAGTTGTTAAAAACATCTGACTCCAAGCTTTTGAGTAGAGAAGTCCATGAAGAGGAAAACTCCTAAAATCCATTTTTTCTCTGAAAAGTACTTAGGAAACATAATAATTAATCCACAATGGGTCATGTCAGAGAAATACAATAGATTAAATGTCCAGGTAAAAATAATTGCTGTAAAAGTCCATGGGCCTCATGTTACATTGTGTTTCCATTTGTAGAAGGCTAATGCAAGATTAGGAAAAGCCATTACTACATGGTTAATGAGTAGACTAGCGGGTACTTTTCAGCTGTGACAACATGAATAAGCACTGGAAGATCTTGCGTGGCTAGGATCCCAGTATGGGAAGCACTGGATTTTTAGCAATTAGGAAAGACATGGTCTGTCACAGTGGAAACCAGCTGTCCCAATCCCCTAGACCACTAACACTACTTTAACACAGCCGTGGGACACATCCATCATACTCTGAGAGATTAAGTGAGAGAGAGTTTTCCCTGGACACATGGTTGAACCGCCTGCAAGATGCGTATTGACTGAATTTATGATCTTTTGCAAGAATAAGCAAGAAGCAAGACAGTGACATAAAAGCCACAGAGGTAGATACTTCACAGTGTATTTGAGAAACAAAGCAGAAGGCAAACATATTCAGGACGCTGCTTCCCCAGCAGCAGAAACTATGCCACAGATGGTAAAACCAGTCCAGATTTTTCAGCAGGGGAACAGAAGTCATTCGTGGGGATTTTTTTTCTCCTGATATTCCCCAAGATGGATAGTACCTATAGAAAACTTCTGTTAATTCAAAGACACCAAGACACAGATGAAGGCTTCTGTTACACTTCATGAAAAATAAAGACACAAGCTATCTGAGATAGAATAGGAAGCATGAATGTTCCTGTGTCTCAGTTATTTTCCCATTCTTTGGTACTGTATTGGTAAATCTATAGCTTGCATGCATCTGGGTTTATCTTGTATATGATTTCTAATGCCTTTTTTTTTTAGTTTAGATGTATGCAATTCAATTATGTGCATCTTTGAGCCAGGAGCTTTTGTCATGAAGTTAGGCAGGTGTGGTCTGGCATGTACAAGGTGTGTTATAACAAATAGCAACTGCTTGCTTACAGCTGGCTAGAAACAAGTCTCATCCTGAGCTAGACATGCCAATAGACAACTTTAGTGAGCCAGAAAGAAACCTATGTGCAGCTGCTAAAATTTCATTACCTGCTGTGGTTCAATCCCTCTTCAGAGCCGGATTCGTAGGATGTGGAATGACACAGTTCGAAAGCAGTCCGAGTCTTCCTTTATTACTGGAGATATAAACAGTTCAGCTTCACTCAACAGAGGTAATTATAAACAATTTTTCATATCTCTAACTCTTGTGTTGGCTTTAAGGAGTAGGAAATGTGTTGCTTCTCTCCCCGCCCCTTCCTCCTTACCTCAAATTGCACTGGACCCCATTCTACCACATAAGAAAAGTCACAGTGATAACTGGGAGGAAGGATTTTGGTGATTGTTGTTTTTTTTCCCTTTTCTTTACTTTTACACATGCATTTTCAAGAATCCTAATTTCTGGAAGGGAGTTAGGAAAAGCAAAAAAGGATAAATGAAATAAAATGAAAAAGAAATCTCCCTTTTTCCTCAGCAAACTGCTGCAGCCAGAAGCTGCTGAGGTGTCAGGCCTCGTTGCTAATAGTGAAAATGGGCTGTTACAGCATTGTACAGACTGTGTTAAGCATCACAGGAATCCTGAGTGTCCTGGATATGTAGCAATAGTGTCATCTTTATGGAACCAAAAATGAGCAGCAGAGCATAGATGTGAGAAAAAACTGTGCTTGGAAGAAAATTGCCTGTGTTGATGTTAATATATCTAGTTTGCAGAACTGACTGATGTGAACTTTATAGACATCTGCAGAAGGAAGGCTATCAGAAACATATATGCCAAACAAAATGTGGTGCCTGGAACAGAAGGAAACCTGAACAGGTTTTTTAAAACCCATCTTTTTCCAGGGAGTTGCAGGAAAACAACTGTAAAGGAATACCAAAAAAGAGCCTCAGGGATTGGTTTCTTTCCCCTCCAGTACAATTACTTTATGGCTTAGCTTTGAGCAGCCAGATGCCAAATTCTGTTCTGTGTATATACTCAGTTGATGCTGGAATGAAGAGTGAATAGAGTTGGGATTACTGGGCCCAGGTGTTCTCTCATGATGGTGAAAATCAAAAATATTTCCAGTCCTGATGGTTGGACTGCAAAGCTCAACTGAGAATTGAGTTGGAATTTTGGTTTTTATTCAGTCTTTATTCACTCAGAATTCACACTGATTTTAGGACGAGTTTTGCCTATGGATAGGCTTTATTAATTTTGACTGTGCTGTTAGTAATACTGAGTACTGGGTAACTGGGGGTATACGATTCAGTTCTCTGAACACTATATACATCTCCTGAATCAGTGAAAAGGGGAAGGCAGTGGAGATGTTAACTCTCTCAACTCACTCTGGTGGTTTTTCACCTTGTATTGAAGATTCATTAATAAAGAGGGCTGGAAGATGCCATTACTGCAAAAAGGCTGATTTATCCACATGCATTGCCTTTGTATTTCTCTCTGTCTTTGCATCAGAGACTGGACAGCTACAGCCAGGGCTAATTTAGAGGGGGATCGGTTGTTGCACAAAGGTTACAGCAAGAACCCTTGTTTCTCTTGGCCATCTATAAACTCCATTTTGGTGGCAAACCAAAATGTGTCATGCATGAAACATTCACTCCTTTAGTTAGCTCAGAAGTTGACTTGCTCTCCAATGCAGCTGAGGCTACAAAGGGGGTCAAAACAGGATCTTCTGGACTCATCAGCAAGAGAGAGGCATCTCTCCTATTTCAGTTTAAGGGTTTTTTTCCATGTGCAGAAGCAAGTGTGACCATAAATTGGGAAAGCTGTGAAGAGGTTTCAAGTGGGCAATCTTCATTTCAATGTGGTGAGAGCCTGTTACTAGATGTGTCTGTTATTTAAAGATCCGTTGGGAAAAGAGCTGCTGGGGGAAGCAATTTCAAAGTGGATTTCATCTAGCTATTTTCCTTTTGTACCGTTGGATGAGATGAATCACCCAAAGGGTCTTAATCTCTCCACTGACTACAGAAGCAGCCTGTTGACTGTCTTGGAAGGAAAGCCTTTGTAGGTGGAACACTTAACTTACTTGAATAAGTTGTACTCTTATACAGGGGCATCCTCCCTCTTTTTCACACAGGCAGGCACAAGATTTGTCATTTTTTTTCATTTCTTACAAAATGGAGGTTAAAACATTGGGAGTTAGTATCTCCAAAGCAACAAGTGGTCAGTTCTGGTAGGAAAATACACCTGACACCTACAGTAATCCCAACTGCATGGGGTCCCAGATATTTCACACCTTATCCTGTTTATTTCATTTGAAAAGTTCATTGTCTTAGGGCTTTACATAGAGCACACTTTGTTTCTTCAATCTCTCCAGAGAGAGATGAAGCCTGAACAGACCAATGGGGCATTGCAGTTTTCACAGTTCCTGTCTTTCTCTTAATTTTTAATACATATCAAGCTTTAAAGTATCTGTTTCATTAATATTTTATTTACAAGTGTGCAGTAAAAACTCAAAGGAGTCTAGCATGAGCCTTGAATTGTATGGTTAGTAGCTTTCCTGTCCAAGGATGACACAACAGGCTCACATACCTGTTCAAAAGTCCCTCTGCAGACCTCCCAGCCTAGGCACCTTTCACATGAAAGTATCTGTATTACCCCACATAAAACATTCTTTTTGCACTTGTATTTTTCCAAGAGCCTTTAGATATTAACCCCCTTTCTAAAACAGGGAGAAAATGATCCTTCCTCCATGGAATTATCTCATCCTTCAGGTCCTGGCCCAACCATGACTTGGGCCAGTGCTGAGGTGTTGGTTTTTTTTCTGTCATGAAAGCAGAAAGCAATGAGACATGCTCCAAGTGAGGTTCTTTCCAATTCAAGCCTTTTTTTCCCTGATAGCATTTACAGTGTTCTTGGTCCCCTGCTGCTTGATAAGGTCCCAGGCAAGACTGTTCTACCTATCCTTATTACTATATGATAACCAGCATCCCATCCGCTCTTCTTCTTCTATGAAGCTCCTGAGTGTCGGTCGGGAATATGTTACCTGTGTTAGTGCATCCCTCCTTTATACGTGTAATATGAATTTTTCCAATTCAGCAGATACCACACTGCTTATGGCTTTTTTTCAGCACCAGATCCTCTGTTACCTACTCCCCATCCCTTCCCCCCACCCCCAAAGTAACTGGCCATAATGTTATTTTTGTTATTCTCATTTATTATACCTGGAATTTTGGGCATGACCCCAAACTTGCTTGATGTAATGTGTTCGGTAATGAAAACTGTACTCACACTTGATTCCAAAGACTTACAGGACCATTTCAGATATTTCCTTAAGCTAACATCTAATTACAGCTTAGTCCAAAATGTTTGTTTCAGGCTCTGTTTCCCCTTGCTGCTCATTATAGCTTGCTAATGATGTGGATTTGGGGTTATTATACCACTGAAATCAGGAGGAAGGGAACAGAAAACAGCTGTGGTTTTCCTCTCCTACTGTCAAATGAACAGCATGTCAGTCCACCCCATGATCATAGAATAGAATCATAGAAAAGTGAGGGTTAGAAAGGACCTTAAGATCATCTAGTTCCAACCCCCCTGCCATGGGCGGGGACACCTCACACTAAACCATGTCACCCAAGGCTCTGTCTGATCTGGCCATGAACACTGCCAGGGATGGAGCATTGTCCTGGGTTCAGCAGTAGCAGTCATGTTTCTCCTTCTTGGTAGCTGGTGCAGTGCTGTGTTTTGACTTTCAGCCTGGGAACAGAGCTGATAGCGATGTTTTGGTTTGGCCAAGGACTTTGTGAGCCTCATGCTCTGCCAGGGAGGAGGGGAAGCCAGGAGGAAGCAGAGACAGGACACCTGACCCAAACTGACCAAAGAGGTATTCCATACCACAGCACGTCATGCCCAGAATGTAACTGGGAGTTAGCTGGGAGGGCTGGGAGACTGCAGGGTTGGAGGAGGTATGGGTCAGAGCTTGGTCGGGCTTGGGGGGTGAGTTATCGGTCAGCTGGTGGTGAGATGTTGTACTCTCTTCCCTTGTTATTTCCTTTATCATTGTTATTACTGATGGTAGCAGTAGTGATCTGTGTTATACCTTAGTTACTAAACTGTTCTTATCTCAGCCCGTGGGAGTTGCATTCTTTTCAATTCTCCTCTCCGTCCCTCCGGGAGTAGGGGAAGGGAAAGAAGGGGGAGAGTGAGTGAACGAGTTACCGGACTGGGTTTAAACCACGACAAGCATTCACAGGTTCCTTGGGCAACCCATTCCAGTGCCTCACCACCCTTACAAGAAAAAATTTCTTCCTTATATCCAATCTAAACTTCCCCTGTTTAAGTTTTAACCCATTACCCCTTGTCCTATCACTACAGTCCCTAGTGAAGAGTCCGACTCCAACACGCTTGTAGGCCCCCTTCAGATACTGGAAGGCTGCTATGCTTTCTCAGCCTGTCTTCCTACGGGAGGTGCTCCAGTCCCCTGATCATCCTTGTGGCCCTTCACTGGACTTGTTCCAACAGTTCCATGTCATTTTTATGTTGAGAACACCAGAACTGCACACAATACTCCAGGTGAGGTCTCACGAGAGCAGAGTAGAGGGGCAGGATCACCTCCTTCGACCTGCTGGTCACGCTCCTTTTGATGCAGCCCAGGATATGGTTGGCTTTCTGGGCTGCAGGCACACACTGCCTGCTCATGTTCATTTTCTCATTGACCAGCACCCCCAAGTCCTTCTTCATAGGGCTGTTCTGAATCTCTTCTCTGCCCAACCTATAGCTGTGCCTCAGATTGCCCCAACCCAGGTGTAGGACCTTGCACTTGTCATGGTTAAACTTCATGATGTTGGCATCAGCCCACCTCACAAGCGTGTCAAGGTCCCTCTGGATGGCATTCCTTCCCTCCAGTGTATCAACCGAACCACACAGCTTGATGTCATCAGCAAACTTGCTGAGGGCACACTCAATCCCACTGTCCATGTCACCCACAAAGATGTTGAACAAGACCAGTCCCAACACTGATCCCTGAGGGACACCACTCATTACTGGTCTCCAGCTGGACATTGAGCCATTGACCACAACTGTTTGTGTGTGGCCACCCAGCCAGTTCTTTATCCATCGAGTGGTCCATCCATCAAATTGATGTCTCTTCAATTTAGAGACAAGGATGTCATGTGGGACAGTGTCGAATGCTTTGCACAAGTCCAAGTAGATGATGTCAAGTGCTCTACCCCTGTCCGTCAGTTC